CTCTTGATCCCCTTCCCATTTGGGAAAGATCTATCTTTTTATTTCCTATTATTTTTTACTTTGTTCTTTATTTATAATTTGGATTTCTCATATAAGAAAAACCATCCAATATTTAAGCTTGTGTGACTGCTTTATTTCAAGTAACATTATGCCTTGAAGTGCATCTATTTTCCAAGAGATGACTCAAATTTATCTTTCTCTATGGCAAAGAGGTACTCCATTGTATTTAAGTACCACATTTTCTTTATCCTTTCATCTGTTAATGAACATATAAGCTGCTGCCAAGATTTATGTATTATGAATTGTGCTGCTGTAAATATGGGTATGTATGTGTCACTCTAATATGATATCTTTAATTCTTTTGGGAGGATACCAAGAAGGGGAATAGCTGGGTCAAACGGAATTTCTAGTTTTAGTTTTTGAGGACTCAGTATACTGATTTCCATAGTGGTTGTATTAGTTTTCGTTCCCACCAAAAATAGGGAAATGTTCCTTTTTCCTTTTTCCTTTTTTTTATATCCTCACAAATACTTGTTACTATTTGATTTCTTGATGATAGCCATTCTTTTTGGGGTATGATGAAATCTCAGTATTGCTTTAATTTGCATTTCTGTAATGGCCAGTAATGTTGAGCATTTCTTCATGTATTTATTGGTCATTTGTACTTTTTCTTGCCCATGTTTTGACTGGGTCTTTTATTTGGGTGAAAAAGTTATATCTGTGTGCGTGTGTGTGTGTGTGTGTGTGTGTGTGTGTCATTGCTATTTATTATCTCTACTCCCCTCAACAACTTTGATTTAAATTCCCTCTACTGTTACCACCTCAGAGGACCTAATTATTGAGAGTCATGTATTGATCAGTTCAGTTTCTTGAACATGAACTTTGTCAGCTACATTGTAGACCCAAGGAGATAATGACCAAAGCTACATATTTTATAAACAAAGACTTAGGACATAATTTTATAAATATGAGTGTATTTGTGGGGATAAAAGACACAAGTCTTGGCCGGAGATTAAGCTCAGTGATTTCTCCACCTGCTGCGCAAGCACAAGGACCTGAGTTCAATCCCTGGTACCAAAAAAAAAAAAAAAGACACAAGTCTTAAAAACCAGTCTGTCCCAGGAAATCAGAAGCTTATGGTTCTTGTAGCTATTCTTAGAATGTGAATTCCATATGCTGGTCAAAGATGAATTTCAGAGTCAGATCGTAAGAATATGATCTCTCTGATAACTCACTGAATTAAGAAAGCAGGATCAATGACACTGGTAAAAGTTGTCTGCATTTCAGAAAGGTGTTTTTCCTTGCTAAAGAAGATAGCAGAGACTTTGGAGTCATATCTGGTTTGTATGCAAAGTTTACCGCATAAAATCTAGGGACAAACTCTAGTTTAATTGCCTTGATCAAACTATTTATTTTAGTATTAATTTCCTTATCAGTAACAGGTTAATGATACCCATCTTGCAGACATTTTATGAAGATTAGAAATCATGTATAAAAACCTGGCATGATATTTGTTCTAAATAAGTATATTTCCTGGAAATCTGGAACCAAGTTTATTTTCAAGATGAAAAAGGAACTGAAATCATGCCCACTTTCCACATATAACTGAGCTCTATAATTTAAAAACAAACAAAAACCTATCCAACTACCATAGAACCTGGATATAAGCATTTTCCACATTTACCTTTTTAACCCCAATGTATCCAGTAAGTACACACAGATAGGCAGGTTGAATATAAATTATTTTTTCAATGATTTCTAAAGGGAAAGCTTTCAAAAGATTCCTAATGTACTTCACCAATATAAAAGTATCTTTTGTTAATATGTAAGGTAAACATACAGTAACTGAGGCTTGTCATTAAAATAAAAAAGAAATGATCTTCTAACATTTTATGGAGAAATACAGACACTTAGTGAAACCTCACTAAAAAAAAGACTCTTGTTTTGATATATTTAATGCCTAATTCCCAAGTAGAAGTATTGCTGCTATCTAAATAAATCTTGAGTATTTTAGATAAGTTGTAAAATTATGTGCTGAGTGGTTTTTGTTTCTTGTTTCTAATGAATCAGTAATTTTGACCTTCGTTCCATATGCCTCTTTAATTTATGGTGAATAAAGTAATTCTGATTTTTCAAAAATTAATACATATTCTCAAGCCACCAAGTTTCCAAATTATGATATTTCCAATGGCAAATGAAATAACATGCTGTCCATGCAGTTAGTGATTTGAGGCAATTTGAACATCATGATAAGAGAGGGGGGGAATTACAAGCAGTGTTATAATTAAAGGTCTGTTGATTCCTCAGTTTAAATGCCATTGTTGAAAGATTTTTCACTCAGATGTCAAAGTCTGTGGCCAGCCAAAACTTGGCATGCTAGAACTCAGCCCAGGGAAACATTGTGTTCTACAAATTTAAAAACCAAAATCTGTTAAGAACAGAAATGTTGCACTTGGGCTGATTTCTCATGAATCAGAACCAGAACATGGCCAAATACCACCTTCTTTATGAAAGGAGGTAGTGCAGGTGGATGCTAATGAGAAATATTTGTTCAGATGGAAAATAAAGGGAAATTGTCATTAGATGTCAATATACAGTACACTGGGTTAAAGATCTATATCATTAAACATGTTCCCTTGAAAACTTCAAAACATTTTAGAAGGCTTTTCTAGTTAATTCTTTTGGGGTGTTAAATGAGGAGAAGTATTTTCCCATTTTCTAAGATTCATGCATGAGGTTCAGTTTCTCCATATCCCTTGTTACTAGGAAAACTTGAAGTGCTTTGTTAACTCGCAGTTTAGGAATATATTCCCAACTACTGTGTCTCCCTTTAATTTGAAGGCTACAAACTAGTGACCTCTGATCTGCACCTAGATAGCTGGTAGAATTTTTTAAATCTATTTTTTGTCTGTACTACAGTATTTTAAAATAGTTTAAGCCAGCTTTTAAAGACAAAGAGATTACACACAAAGAAATCCAGATTTTTCTGGCTTCTCTTGAAAAAATTGGAGATCTGGCAACATTAGACCTGCATCCCCACATGGCACCAGTATTGGAACTGAGTAGCAGCTGCTCCCTTTAGACAAGCCATGTTCTCTCCAGTTTGACAACATCCCTGTTGTCCCATGTTTCATGCCACACCCACTTTATCATTTACTCTACCACCTTGGCTCCTGGAAGTATTTGATTTTTTTCATTGGTTATGTTAGTTCTGTTAAGTTTCTTTGCTTTCCTATTATTAAGTGTTAAGGCTTACAAAAGTTTCTTTCCAACAAATACTAGCATTACAAAGGCTACTTTAAATTATACTAACAAAAACATTATTGAAAAGTATAAAAATCAGAATGTAACCCAAACAGGAGATTGCTTAAATACATCCATAGAATGAAATAGTGTGCAGGATTTAAAAATGTGTGTCTTAAACAAATGCAGGCTGTAAAACAATGTATACAGCAAGATTTCTATTTTTAGGAGGAAAATATTAGTATAAAAAAGCTAATGTGTCCAGACTGGAGGGGTTGAAGGGAGGGCTGGGCAAGGTTGAAAAATAAGAACCAAGAGAGACTATGTAAAGGTGCAAATTTCCAATGATGAATGTCATTATATTGTATACCTAAAATGTACCAATGATTAGAATGAATAATCGATAATGCAAAATAGGAATAAAAGGTCCAAAGGGGTAGGGGTAGTGGGAAGGGCAGGGGAAAGGAAAGAAGGGAAAGGAAAAAATGATGAGAAATGAAAAAAATGGAAATAAAGTCTTTGTAAATAGGGAAGGGTGGAGGGCGTGAAGGGAGGGCTAGGAATGGGGAAAAAATAAGAACCAAGATGCATTATATAAAGGTACAATTCCCAATGAGAAATGTAATTGTGTTGTATACCTACAATGTACCAATAAAAGAATTTAATACAAAAAATAAATAAATAAATAAAAACTGTAAAAAAAAAAGCCAATGTGGTAGAACAATATCAGAAAAATATATGCATGTACAATTTCATATACCCTTAAATTAATAAATAAGTCCCAAAGGTAGCTTTCATAAGTTTCCTGCATGGCTTCCTTATTCCATTCTTACCCAACAGTTAGAAAACATCCAGAAGCTATTTTTCAACTCTCTGTCTAAAGCTGGTTATACTTCTTGCTTTTATCCTGTAGAGGATACAATCAAAGAATAAGATTTCCATTGTTGTTTTATATACTTTGGAAAGCTACTATTGCTTGCCCACGTGCTGCACTGCAAATTGTCAAAGCGAGAGAACCATTTCCTGTGTTAGTCTTGAGTTGGTTTGTTCTTCTAACTACCTTTTGATGACTCACAAATTACCCAAACCTTATAAAAAGATTTTAGAACTGAAAAATTACATATAGCATTCACTTAACACAAACATAGGAACTCATCATCACAAATGCATCAGTTCTGTGCCAATTGTAGGAAGCAAAGTTCCCAGGTACAAGTGATCTAAACATTATGGAAATTTTTCTGACCCTTACACCTAGCACAATGTCTGGCAAATAAGAAGAGATCAGAAAAATACTTGTTGAATAACTTTCTAATAAATTCAATTCCTATTAAGGAATAGTTAGTTAACTGTGTATTTTTTAAGTCAATTATCTTTTAAAAAAATCAAAGTTTAGATTTCATTAACTGTTCTTAAAACTTCAATATAATTTGCTTCAAAGTTACTAATACAATCACTTATTCCTGGGGAAAAAATGTTTGTTTATGCGTGCAGTTTTGTGTGTGCATGAGTTCAACTAAAGAGTAGGAAGCAATAAGAGGTAGTCCTTTTAGAGAAGAGTAAAGTGGAGACTGTAGCTCTTATCAGTGCTAGCTTTGCTGTTATTACTTGCTTGTCTTGTCTATAGATTTCCACTCTTGAAACATTCTTCACCTTTGATCTCCATAGCCTCTGTTTTCATCACACTCCTATTTATCTGATGATCCTTCTTGTTTTTCTGTCCATTTTCCCTTCATCTACCCATAAAATGTAAAGTGTGCTTTTGTTTTTTCCCTCATGGCATTCTTGAAATCTGTAGGCAATTTTTTCACATCATCTTGATAGTCTGAGCATTTCATTCTGCCTGTAGACTCTAGTACTTTCCTACAGTAGACTAAAGCATTTCCAAGTGGATGTTCCACCCATGGCATCTCCAACTTCTGTTGCTACCCTTTGAGTGTTCAGGAAGCTAACCAAATTGTTCCCAAACATACTTGTGCTTTGCTATTCTCATTCTTTATTCATTTTCTACCCCTTACCTAAATCCTATGCCTCCAATTTCTAATATTTGGAAATTGCTCATATTCCAAAGTCCATCTAAAACCTCGTCTTTTCCAAGTGACATCTTTTAGTGTCCACCATCCAGTGGTTTTCTCAATTCACTAAACTCTAAAAAATATAGTTAATAATCCTTTATGGTATTCATCCTACTGTGTGTTGTGTTTTAGTTATGTAGAGTTTATTTTCTGTCATATTTCAAATATTAGGTTTATGGCATCTTACCTATCTTTGGAACTACTTTCTAGAGCTTAGGTCCTACCAGAGTACTTTGCTCCCAGCAGGTGTTCATTAAATATACCTTGAATTAAGTTGGATTTATATATTGATGGTTGTACATGTGTTATCATTTGAGAGCTCCAGAAAGTTCAACCACCCAAAGTAACTCCTTTACTTTACAGGCCATAATATCTTACTTTGTGGACTTTCTTCTCTATGGAGTTGGGAATTCTCTGCAAAATTGGGTCTTTATGTTCCCTAGCAAGAAAGTCACTGACTGACAAATGTTTGAGTTCTGCTTCCTTCTAAGGTCTACTTCTTATCTCTAAGAGGAAGCAGAATCTTAAAGACAATAAGTCAGAAATCACTTATGCTCTCAAGGGGGTAACGAGTAGGAAAAGTCCCAAAAGAAGACAAGTAATGTAAAGGATCTTGGGCTGTGCCACTTAGTGGGGATGTGCTTTACTTTTCTCATCATAAAAATGAATAATTATAATAATTTCTACCTTATAGAGATGTCATAATGACTAAGTAAATAATGTAAAGAACTCACTTATCTGGCACATTGTAAGTGCTAACAAGTGTTGTCTGTTAAATATGTGTATGGCATATATATATGGAACATAGAAAATGTGTATATAATCATGTATTCTAAGTTTACATATATGCTTAGCTGATTCAACATACATGCATATATATATATATATTTATAATTATTTTTATACTTATTTTGTTCACAAACCTAATGGCATATCCCAAAGAAACTCCTAGAAAATCCAGCCAAAGATGTTAAGTGTCTGGGGATGGAGAATGTAAAAGAGAAGAGATCAAGCACTGTCAGTATGAAGCACAGCAGTGCTGCCTCTTAACTGTGCACCTCGTGAAAGTAACTGCACTTGTCAGAGCCTCAGCTTCTTCATCTGCAAAAGAGGGAAACACCTTTTACTTTTGTTTTGAACATTAAATGAGCTTCTGTTCTCTGTATTCATTCTAAGACTCAACCTCTTCTTTTGCTAATTCCTATCCTTGTCCTGATCTTCACATTTGTTTTCTTTTCAAATTAGATTTTAGACTCTTTGTTCTGAACAAACTTAGGAGAAACGACTGGCACTGATTCAGAAAAATAGTGGCAGTACCAGCTACTAATTTCAAATTATTAATAATTTAACATAATAGAGAAATGTTAAAATATGTACCAATTAATATGTACCAAGCCTAATAGAGAACAAATACTCACCAAACTGTAGCTAAATCCTTAATCTAGAACAAACGTACCAGTTTGATCAAGTTTTTTTTAATAGAATGTCTTTTACTGTGAAAATCATTAATTATATTAATCCACACATTTTAGAATTGGTCATTTATTTTAGGTAAAAAAATTTACTTTTTATTGTCCTTTCCATTTAGTCTAATTTGAAAGAAATTGTGGGGGTTCAAGGGAGACAGAAAAATAAAGCAAAAAATAGTGATGAACATATCTATAAACTCCCAGATATTTAGATGTGAAAGAAAAAGAACCCTGTAATGTACCTTCTTGCATGTAGCCCTGTTCTTATAGTGCTGTGATGTGGCACTTAATGCTCTGGGGGACCTAGAGCGAGTGTTACAAATGCAACCAAAAGTCTCATGAAAATGAGCCTCTTAACAGTGTGAGCTGGTCTGCAATGGCCTCGGGAAATCCCCCCAGCTATTCACAGCCTTTTTATCCACTACATTCTCTGACTCAAAGGGAAACCTCACTTCACCTCCTTGACCAGAATTGAACAGACATTGATTTGGTTACCTAGTGCTTTATTTATTCATTTTTTAATCTTCATCATTTGTATTCCACTAGAACAAAAGAACATGTATTTTATTTGCATTAAGTTTAAGGATGTGCAATGTGTTTTCATAGGAGAGTGTATAATTATGCTTTTGTAATCTTATGGGCAGCTTACTTTTTATTTTCCATCAAAATTCTAGTACATAGAGCTTCATCATCATCATCATTGTACAGAATGACTGTGCTTGACACATTAGCTAAATTCCTAAAAATGTTGCATGCAGAGTGAGCCTTTTAAAAGAGAATCATGTTTTCCATTCACTTCTATAATTAATCAGGTTAAGTGTCACATGGGAAAAATAAGTGGCCCAATGCATAATTTACAAAAAATTAAGAATTGCAACTTTCACCTTAGTGATAATGATGCATTTATCTATGGACACTTTATGTGCATTAATTGCCCCCAAGAAAAGCCAATAAAAAGTGAATCCAATTAAACAGCAGATAGTTTGGAAGCAAATGCTATGTATAAACCACTATATTGGAGGCAATGGGAAATTCAAAGAAGTATAAGTCAGGGCTGATCCTCCCAGTTATGGGTGCACGGCAGAAAAGATGGAATTGTAGACCCAATTAGGTTTTAATAGCAGTATGATATATTCAAATAAATTCTTCACACAAATACCTTAATGATTTATAATAAAATATACCACAGAGTTAATTTTCCTTCCATTTACAGCACTGGCTGGGTGGGTACCACATACACTTACAGCTACCTAAGTAGCAGTAACATGTGAGCTCTTCACCTGAACTCAATTCACAGGTTTGTTTAAACAAAGCTTACGCATTTCAAGCAATAATAATTTACTTTGTGGCAGAATCCATGTTTCTTTTCTTTTAAATGTTGAATGAATGCCAAGTAGCTTTGCTTCAAATTTTTCTTCAAGAATACTTGTTGAACTAGTGGACATTTCTAAGTAGATCTTTGGTGTGAAGCAATCAAAAAATGGCCTTTGAAGTTTTTTTACACCCTACCTCTCCCCCAACCCTATACCAGCTTTGGATGCATTCTACAATTTTGTAATACTAAATTTCTTTGTAGTTAGGGAATCTTGTTAAAGTCAATTTAGCCAAAATGGACCCATAATAATTTCCAGAGCAGCATCTATTTAAAATGTAATTAATCATGATCAAAGTAGAGATCATATGGAGACTTAGTTACCACCTTAGTTATAACCTATCAAATATATTAATATAAGCTAAGAAAAAGCTATAGAAGTGTGTATAATTTACATCCCTAAAAGTGTTAAGCTACAATGCCCAGTATATCCATATATACCTTTACTTTCCTCCTAAAGAGAAATAATAAAAACAAATAACACCAAGAAAACATCTTAGTTCACAAAGCATTTTGGATATATCATCCATTTTGATCCTTATAAAAACAACTTATAAGATTAGTAAAGCACATGTTATACACATTTTACAAATGAAAAATCCATAAAATTTAAAAGAACAGATGACTTGCTTAAGGACACAGAGTTCTTAAAGGATGCAGCTGCTTCTCCTGATGCACACGTTATAAGTGGCACAGTGGAAACAGCAACCCAAACAGAATCTTGGCCATGCCACAACTGTCCTGCAGGGCACAGAGGAGTCACCAGAATGTAATGTGTAGACTTTAAACTTCAGAGGAAATAAGAGCCCTCAGGCCAAAAAGGATAGGTGCTACAGTTTCATGCAAGACGGAAATAGATGGTTTCTATCTTTTATGAGGTGTTTTTCCCCCACTTACACAGAACCCTTGGTAAATACTGTGAATTTGGATAAAAGACACTGGATAAAATCGTGATTATTTTCCATTAAAATAATGGTTGTATCTAATCTACTTGTATTAGAGTGCTTTTCAACCTAGTAATAAGAGCATGGACTTCAGTATCTAAAAAGACCTCAATACTGATTTGAACAAACCTTCTTACCCACCAGGATTTATGCCTTTCCCATCGACAACTATGTGAATATAATCAGTCATTGAACTGGCTTTCTGGAGCTTCTTACTCATTTAACAATGTGATATGAAACTGAGAAAAATCTTGAGCCACTTTACCAAAAGCTTGGTGTCACTGGAAATTGATAAAGAATTGTGGTTTGAAATCCTACAAGCCCCAGACTTTCATTGGCAGTACAGTCAAAGCTGTCACCAAGCTCTGCTACTTGAAGAAGAGTTTTGAATTAAGAAATTCAGCATTTTATTATAGGAACTAATATCAGTGGGTACTCCATTCAATATCACATCCTTTAAACATCTATAGACTTTCAGCTTTCAGTATGACTTGAGTATTAGGCATTTGGAGCCTCTTAGTTTCTGGACTTTCAATCCAAATGGATATTTCTTCCATAATAATAGTCCTAGGGTCATAAAGTGTTTATGTATTCTTGAATTTTTAAGTCCTATGTTAGGCTTTTGCATTAACGAAGCTATCATCATCATCGTCATTATTATTATTACTATTTTCATTTTATAGGTGAAACAAACCTACTAAGAACATGATATCTGGCTGATGTCAGAGCAGTGATTTACCCAAGTTAGCAGATGATCTCACTCACAGTCCAACATGTTTTTTGCTGTATGACAGTGGTTCTTCACTGGGCTTTAGAATCACCTAACAGGCTTGTGAAAATACAGACACTCAGATATCTACCTGTAAATTTCTGAATCAGTAAGTCTGAAGACCCAATAATTTACACTTCTAATGAGTCTTAAACAATACTACTGCTGATGATCCAAGGAGTTCTTTTAGAATCACTGTCTTACAGCAGGTATGAAATAATTGGAAATTACATATTAAGGCAATATAGTTTTAAGAAGAAAGTTTCTTTGCAGATGTTGCTTTATGCTGCTTACTTCTCCATTTCTGACTTTTATTGGGAAAGGGCAGAGCAAATGTAGGGGGTGGGGGTCTATCAAGAGAGCACCTTTGAATGAGTTCAGATCTTCTAGCACTCAAGAATGGAGCAGTTAAAACCTTTAGGTTGCTTCTAACTAGAATTATTGTTGTAGAATAATTTGGATATGATTGCCAACCCACCAGTGCAGAGGTGCTATAAAACTAGACATGGACAAATGTCATGTGTTGAAAAATAATAAACAGATCAAAATAGCTGATGGTCGTATTTCCTATGGCTGTTGTAACAAATTACAACAAGCTTGGTGCTTTAAAATTATTCAGTGTGATTCTCTTATGGTTAAGGCCAGAAGTTTGAATGAGTTTCACCGTAATAAAGTCAAGGTATTGGCAGGGCTTGTTCCTTTCAGAGCTCTGGGGAAAAATCCATTTCCTTTCCTTTTCTCTATTCTGGAAGGCCCTGCACTCCTTGGCTCATGGCGCCTTCCTCAAATAACTCCAATCTCTTGTATCTGCCAGCACATCTACAAATGATTCTGATACTCCTGCCTCCTTTTTAGAAGAACTCTTGTGATTACATTTACCTCCTACTGAGGAAATCCAGGATAATCTCCCCAGTTTAATAGTGCTAAGTCAATCGTATTCACAAGACCCCTTTGCCATCTAAGGTAATATCACATGTTCTCAGGATTAGGGCATCGATGTATCTTGAGGCATCTTTATGCTGCCTACCACAGTTCTTTTAGAGTATGCTTGTCTATTTACATTAAGAATATGGTATCCCAGGCTGGGGATTTAGTTCAGTGGTGCCACCACCTGCCTCACAAGCACCAGGTCCTGAGTTCGATCCCTGGTACACACACATACACACACAAAAAGAATATGGTACCCCCTTGTTAGCACCAGAATCTTTTAGTCCAATGTGTCCAAGGTCACCGGGGGGGGGGGGATACAAACTGTCTTACAAAGTATTCCTGAGAAGAGTGTGGAACCAGGGACAGAGGAACTGAGTTCTAGTACAAGCTCTTTTACTTAGTTATGAGACCTTAGGCATCAGATGAAATATCTCTGTCACTTGACTTCTCTGTAAACTGAAAAAACTGGAGAATCTCCCAACTACCTTCTGGTTCTATAAAATCTACAAAGCTGTTCTGCAAAGAGAATTTGAAACTGGAACTTATCATCTCTAATATTCAGGATAAATCTCGTCTATTTCCTTTTGAATTCAAAAGTCACTGAAATTTTAAATTTA